AAAGCAGACACCATTTCATGTTCAGATCTTGAAAGGGACAGGTGAAGAATAAAGAGTAAGGTCCATGAAGCGTCACAAAGCAGCAGTCTATTTGAAGAAATTATTACCTTGGGGGCCACCTTCTTAGCATTTTGTCCTCTATTCCATTGAGAAAAAGAAACAATGTAGAAAAATAAAAGCAATAATGCATAAGATTATAGATTATTCTTATAGACTGTAAAAATTCAACACACAATTCTTTCCGATCACAGAATGCAAGTCCACAAAGAACTTACTAGTAGCAAATTATATAGTTTAAATGTCATATATGCTCAAAGTTGTTTCCTGAGCTGCCATAGTTTTTTTTTTCCAAGTATTTCTCAAACCTTGTTTTTCAGCTCAACAATTTATTGAACATCTAATAATATGCCACATTCAGTTCTGGACAGCAGGAGTACAGATAAATGACAAACAGCTTGACCATGGAGAGCTTGCAATGAGGCTGGGAAGAATACCCTGCACAGCTGTATACGATTTTTCCACTAGAGGGCTGATCTAACCATGCACTCTGAGCTGGAGCACTGAGCCAGGGCAAGCAGGAGGGAAGGGAAGGTTCTTAGAGGAGACAATGTTCCAAATCAGTCTTGCAGCAGAAACAAGGAACTAGGAAGAGGGATATTCCATGCTACCAGCACAGCTGCCTAAGGCACACAGGCATAAAGCAGCACAATAGATGCTTGCCCAGGGGTAGGATGGCTAAGAAGTACAAAACATTGCATTTCTGGAGACGGACTGAGAGGTGGGGATAACAGAAACCAAGGCATACAGCATTTTATGTGCCATTCTAGCCTGCAGGTGGCCAGATGCCATCTAAGTCTGACTTATGGGATGACACAGGCAGATCAGGGGCTTAGATGCATTGATTTGGCAACTTAAGGCACAAAATGAGATTTGGAAGGTGAGAGGAGTTCATTCAGGTTGGAGTCTACTGCCATAGCAACTGCACTATTTCTGAACATCTATCTGTACTGGGCGTAACGTGAAGATGCCATGGGAGCAATGGACCCAACGAACAGTCTGAGAACTCGGGGGCACCACTGGGACACAAAGGTCTCTCTCTGACTAGTTCTTTCAATCACTGCCTGCCTGCCTTGCACAACAGTTGCATGACTAGTTGCACCTGACAGACTGTGTAAGAAAGCAAATGGATATGCTCCCCAAGCAGTGTTTGAAACACAAGCTCTGGAACAGATCTGCTAATAAGCAATAAAACAGAACTTGTCCAAACCAGGTTAATTATGTTGAACCTTGGCTGCAGAAGTCTAACAAAGAATTCTGGGTACCACAGACTTCCATGACCTTCATGTTACCTGAATGAACACACACACACACACACACACACACACACACACACACACACACACACACACACACACACACACACACAAATACACCCACTGAACCAGCCACCATCTAATGAGACATTTCAGGTAAATAAAATTTTGTCATCCAGTTGTGTCAATGCCACTTCCTTACCAGCCTTACAGATTTTCTTGGATTGCCTGAGGGGAACCCACAGGCCACAGGTACAGGAGTCTCAGGAATTGATGTCAAGTTTTAGCTCATTTCCCCCACCCTTAGCAACTGCTCATCATCCATTCTCAGCTTGAACAAGTCACAGAAAAGAACTAATACATCAAACTCCAAAACAATAAACAAACAGCATTCTTTCTGTTCTAAAGCTCTCCTTTCTTACCACACACTTGGCCCCACACCTCTGTCTACCCCTAACTGCTTTTTTATTCTTCTTTTTTTTTTTTTGCCTTATTCATATATTTCACCAAAAAACCCCACTGAATTTGTTCCCAATATCCTGGTCCTAAAATGCTCTCCTCCTCTCTGTCATCAAAACTTTTTCTGGGCCCGGCGTGGTGGCGCAGTGGTTAAGGTCCTAGCCTTGCACGCCCGGGATCCCATATGGGTGCCTGTTCTAATCCCGGCAGCCCCACTTCCCAACCAGCTCCCTGCCTGTGGCCCAGGAAAGCAGTCGAGGACGGCCCAAAGCTTTGGGAACCTGCACCTGCGTGGGAGACCCGGAAGAGGCTCCTGGCTTCGGATTGGCATAGCATCAGCCATTGTGGTCACTTGGGGAGTGAATCATCAGATGGAAGATCTTCCTCTCTCTCCTCTCTATATATCCGCCTTTCTAATAAAAATAAAATGAATCTTAAAAAAAAACTTTTTCTATAGCCAAGTTAGATAAATTTTTGTTTTCTTTGTTTTCCAAACCATTTATTCCACAACAGTCTCTTCTCTTAATTTCTGTGATCATTTTTGTATCTTTTGAAATAACATTCTTACATTATCATCTGAATTAGCTTATATGTCCTTGAAAAGCCCAGACCAAATCTTATACACATACAGTCCTACCTGTGACACCTACAGTAACATACCTTGACTGTGAGTTCAGAAAGCGAATAACCATCTGACACCCACAGGGGTTTCTCAACCAGTATTTTCACTGTTGGATACAGGCCACAGAAAAGCCCCTCAAAGCCTCTGTGGACAGAACCTGTGGGTACTTTCCAGATTTAGTTCAAAATAATTCAAATCTAAAGGTGGGGGAGGGGGAACGGGGAGGACTGCTGAAGGTAAAGAAGCGGCTGAGCCAACAGAAAGATCAGAGTATCTCTGCTTTACAACAGGAAATGTGTAATGACTAAATCCCATTCCGCCTGTCAAAGATATTCCCAGCCTCAACTCAATACTGTTCTACACTAAAAAGGAAGTGCTATTATACCTGCACTGTTTGAGATAATCCAAAATCTCTGATAATGCCTGTCATTCCTCTGACATTTGGAAATAAATGATATGATTTGAAGATTAATACTCTTTCAATAATGATACATTTCTGAGTTAGGCTGCTGCCAACAGGACTCTCAGAGCTTTCAAGAATGCTTGCTGGGGACAGAACCGATCAGGGTAGATGATCCACCTACAAATAATCAAGATGCTAATGCTGTATCAAGTCTTGAAATGTGGGACAAAATACAACATAGATTACATCAAGATATGCCAGCAGGAATGATGATAATCAAAGATATTACACAGGTAAACAAAATGCAGTTTAGGGTAAACACTAAATATTACATTAATAAATTTCATCAAATTAAATAACTGGAAATGAAACCATTTTCAGTTAAAATCTCTCAGTGGGCGAGAGGTGATGCTTGTGTTGTGGCATAGTGGGTAAATCTACTGCCTATGACACCAGAATCCCTTATGGACACCAGTTTGAGTCATTGCTGCCTCATGTCTGATCCAGCTCCCTGTTCATGGCAGATGGCCCAAGTTGTCTGGGCCCCTGCACCAATGTTGGAGATCCAAAGAAAAGCCCCTGGCTCCATTTTGGCAATCTGGGGAGTTAAGCCAGTGGACAGAAGATCTCTGTCTCTACTTTTCTCTAGGCAACTCTTTCAAATCAATCAATCAATCATTAAATAAATAAATAGATAAATACTCATGGGAGCCAGCAATGTGGCATAGCAGGTAAAACCAATACTTCCAACACAGAAATCCCACAGGGACATTGGTGCACATTACATTTGTTGCACTTTAAATCCAGCTCCCAACTAATGGCCTGGGAAAGCAGCAGATGATGGCGCAAGTGCCACCCATATGGAAGGCCTGGCAGAAGCTCCCAGTTCCTGGTTTTGGATGGAACCAGCATTGGTAGCTGCAGCCATCCAGGAAGTAACCAGAGGATGGAAGACATCTAACTCCAGATTCCAAAACAAACAAACAAACAGATCTAAAAGAAAATTTCAAGGCCAGTGTTAGAGCAGTAAAATAAGCTGCAGTGAACTGAAGATCTTGAGCTCTTTGTAACTCTGATTTTCAAAAAACATAATACATTTGTTAAAGTCATCTGATTATATAATCTAAACAGTTAAAGAACAAAGAGCTCCAAAGTGCAAAGACCTGAGAAGCTAAACTGATTTCCTCCCTTCTTGATCTAAGCTCTGTCCCCTATAATTGCTGTGATATGCAGGCTTTGTGCTTTAACCCATGTGCTGTTTCCGGCCATAGGAAGAACTGGGTAGTCATTAAAAAACTGTCACATAAATAGCCATTTACCAACTCACCTAGGGAGTGCAACATTGTACTAGTAGTAAAGAATGCCAATTCTGCTCATTTTACTGCTTATAAACTCCTGAGAAAAGAGGCGGGCTGGTAAATTTTCTGAACATTCAATCCTTAATTATCCATGCAAGCCAATCAGAAAAAATCCATAGGGAAGTCAAAATGAATCATAAAAAAACCCCTTTCATAATCAGTTTTCTAGTGGAAAAGACATACATTTAGGTAAAGGCAGGCATTTGCTCTCGTTTAATTACCCAGGCATCACCAGCCCAAATGTGGTAGAGCACCAAGGTCAAATGCACGGATATCAAAGACTCATGAGGGCAGTGGCTAAGCACTGGCTTTGTAACTCACTGCTAGGATAACCTCAAGCAACTCATTCTATCCCATCAGCTGTAAAATGAGGAAGCTAATACTAACCACCTTATAGGTTTGTGGAGAAGATCCAATGACAATGATGCATTTGAAGTAGGCATCACAGTGCTTGGTAATGTTTAATAATAGTGCATTTTCATATTATTATCGTTTAAGAACTAGATGGAAACCAGCAAGGAAGAAGGAAGGTGAGAAAACATAATCCAGGTCAAGTATATTGCAATGTGATATGAAAATCACTTCAAAAATAACTGCTATTCTAAAAACATCTGAGAAGATATGCTCCCTGATTGTTTTTGTGAAAACCATAGTTTTAAACCATATACATTTTCTAAGAAAGCAATAAGAAAAAGTTGTTGTTTTCCCCCTATCTGAAAGATTTTTCCTTCATCAGGTTTCTGGAAACGAAGTTACCTGTCACAGAGGTAGGAAACCTGGGTTCAGTGTGATTGAGGCCCCTGGGGCTAGTGAGACAAGCAGAGAAAGTGGGACTCATACATTACCTGTGCCCAGTGGTTTTTAAATACAATCATGCATGTTTCTGGGTCAACTCCCTTCAGGCTCACAGCCTGCTGGAATTTGCTTTCTGTCGAAACCGATGACATCATAGACCGTCAACACTTCTAAGTCATATTTAATTTTCTTGAAAATGTTGTTAAGTAGCCACTATCATTCAAGTATCATTAGAAATGTAGCTTCTTCAACATTTCCTTCTCACCTTCTGAAACCTGAAATGACAAGAACAAAATGTGCAAGTCATTATGACCATATGTTAAATAGGACACTAATAGACTTAATTAGAACATTGTCAAAATGCAATGCAGAATAGATATACACAGTCAAGCTAAAAGCTTTTCTCTCTGCTTGTCAATAAAAATGTAGAATTACGACACTACCTAAGCCATGTGCATAAATTAAGCGATTACAGGGTTCTTCTCTCCAATATAAACAAAAACAATCCCCCAAATTACCACTCAAAATCACTCAAGTCTGGTTTTTCTGATCCAGCAAGAAACTATGACATACAACATCTGTGAAGTTTAAAAACACCTAACATTGAAAAGCCATGAGTTCATAGTGACAGAAATAAATGGCTTGCTTTAACTTGAATTATAAAATAGCACCTAGACTCCTGCACCCAGTATGGTTGAATATTTTTTCTAATCAATGATTGTTGTGATGGAACTGAAAGCGTTCTCAGTCATTCTGTAGCTTTAAACTAGGTTAGGTTTCTAGTTGTTTCTGAAAAATAATAGAGTTCCCAGTAACCTTGGCAAGTTAGAGATAGAAATGATCCATCAAAAACAACAGAGTACTTATCAGGTATGAGTGAGTAGAAGGCAGCACACCTACAAATGAAAAACCAATTATGTGTAAAAAATATGAAGAAATCCTGCCTATGACAAAGTCAGTGTGGGGGAGGAGATACTGAGATCAAAGGGTGTACAATGTGCATAATCCATTTGTGTGGTGCTAACTCTATGAAAAATGATAATACAATCATGGTATTATCTCATCAGTTAGATCAGCCCATGAAACGAGTAGGTACACTTCAAAAAAAAATTATTTTTTAGAGTCCAGATTGGAGAGTGTTCTGAAATGAGTAATTTCAATAGTAAGCACTGAAAAGCAAAAACCATGACACAACTTTGCAAACTTATACTTTTCAAAGAAATGAGGGAAGCCATCTCTGTTGAACAAAGCAACATGCAGGGTATTCCAAGCAGAACACACGTCACAGATTAAGTTCTTTGTGAGGAGAATTAAACACTGGAAAATAGTTTTTCAGTATGTAAGAAAGCTTGAAAGAATTAATGCTTTGGAGGAAGCAAGTATTTCCTAAGTAAGAACAAAGGGTGATTAAGGTTTATGGAAAGAATGGCCTAAAGGACAATGCAGATCATGTACTTGAAGGAAACAGCTCACCAGGTCCTGTGTTTTATTATTAAGAGTTCCACAATTTACAACTCCCAATGCAAACTTCTTGTCTTTGATAGGCACTGTCCAGCAAAAAAGTCAGGAGCAGCCAGCCCACACGTGCAGGGGTATGCATTCTCTAGGAGCCCCAAAGCCACCACTTGCTGTGATTCTGATGCCAGTCCCCCACTCCCACCCCCAGCTCTCTAGTTTCCCTGACTAAATCCCTGTTTTAAGTCATAGGGGATGAAACAAGATTCTGAATTATTGTCCTAAGCACTGTATTTCAGTGAAGATACTAAGGCTTTTTATTCAGGGGATAACCTTCATTCAAGTGGAAAATAAAGAGGAAAATCAAAGTGTTTTGGTTTATCCCAGAGGTTGAAAAACCACAAGACTTTGTGGTATTCTTTCTAGCTCTAGCATTCTTAGCATCTTCTTCAAAGGAATAAGAGGTGCATACACATGTCAATTGCCTCTAAATCAAAATAGAAACACATGCTAAGACCCTTTACTTTAGTTCTCAAACTTTTTTGCAATCTTTTTCAGAGATGTGAGAATGCAGGCAGACAGGATAAATACCTTAGCCCATGTCACGGGATTTACTAGTGAGTTTTGACAGAAATGAGCAGAGGTCTCTGAATTCCTAGATCTCTAAGAAGTGATGTACCCTTTCTGATGGCAGTAAATCCCTGGTCCTATTCCCTTTAGAAATCTATGTTTCTTCTAAGAAAAATGTACCCCACTCGGTTTGTCATTTTCTAATCATACATCTGAGGCAGACACCCACAGGATCATGATAGCAGAAACTGCAACACAAAGAAAATCTGAGAAGAAAGGGAAGATGAGGCACGGCAAGCAAGGCAAGTTTCAGAAAACCATGCCAGAAGATTCTACAAATAAGAATACTGCCCAGCACATTCAAAGAACAAACAGTTGGTTTCTACTCCTTCTCTTGTTCCTGTGTTAAGTATTACAACACTGGCAACATAAAACTGAAAGAGGCGGCAGGCATTGGACCCATCCCACATTGGAGTTTAATTCCTGGTTCCAGCCTGTGACTTGGGATTCCATCTAACACAGACCCTGGGAGGCAGCAAGTGATGCCTGAGCAGCTGTGTTCCTGCCTGCCTCCTGACCAGGTCCTCGGTCTTGAATTCGTCCCAGCCCAGCCACAGTCACGTGGACACTTGAGCAAACCAGCAAGTGGGAGCACTTTGTTGTCTCTGACTCTCTCCAACAAATATATGTATATATATACATATATATATATATATATGTATGTATTTAAAATAACTGCAAGAGCTCTATATTTAAGAGATGTATAAGGACTTGGTTCCTCAAAAGACATGCCTTCATTTACCTGGGATTGGTCTTTACTTTTGCTCTTAGAAGGCTTTGTCAGCCACATCCAGTCTCACCTAGTATGTTCTGCACTCTCAGGGATGTAAGACTGCAATGTCAAGAGTGCCATTCTTGCCATCCACGTGTACAACCACTCAAATTTCAGCCCTTAGACAGAACTCCAAATGATTCAGACACCATGGAGTGATTTTTGTTGTTGTTGTTGCTGTTGTTATTTCTTTAAACAAAACACTACCACTTAAAAAAGAGAGCGAGAAAGAGCACCCAAAAAACAGTGTTTGCAACAGTGAGGCTGCAAATATTTTAGGTTGTTATGTTGTTGGGTTTTGGGATTGGAAGACGGGAGGAATGAAAAGAAAATCTACCAAAATACAAGTGTACCAGCCTAACATTTAAGCACAAATTCCACAATGAAAAGTCATTATTTCCAAAGACATTACTGACCAGCCATATTTATATTTTATTAATACAAAATGTAAAAATATTTTGCTTCTATCAACAAGGAAAGAAAACTTTTTTCTTATGTATTGTTGAAGTCAGATATAACTGACAGAATCATATGTATTTTTATTATCCCTTACTTAAATGAACAAATATATCTCTTATTTGACTAGCAAAAACTATAAGTATATGCTCCCACATCACAATACTATAAAACATGCCACACATCCTCATAAAAGTTTAGATTCTAAGTCATCTAAATCACATCTTCTTCTGACCATAAAAATTTCTTCAGCCTCATTCCCAGACAGACATTTTATCTAATTTCAGACACTGGAAAGTTAAAATATTTCAGAAAGCTATAAATATGTCAAAATCACATTTTTCCCAAAAAACCAATGACTATATTTTAACGTATCCCTCCGTTACTATTTGAACTTAAATTGCAAACAGTTTGGCATTCAGTTACATGTTATTTCATATCATCCTTCAATTCTTTCATCTGTTTAAATACAATGTCCTCTGAATAAATTATCTAAAAATAAAAACCTGCAAGAAGAAGAAACTTTGGCATAGCTACCCCAAAGGGAGACAGAGCAAAGGGATCATTTCTTATTAAAGGAAAGAGATCACTTTGCAGGCCTATGAGCAGCAACAAGTATCTGACTGAAGATCAAACAGAAAGGAGCTGGATGGAGTGAAACAAAGGTAAGTCAGTAACTCAAACATGACGGTTCAGTAGCTAAGAGAGGCCAAGCTTAGGTTTTTCATAGTGGTTATCAAATCAGCAGTCACATCATGAACCTGACAGAAAAATATGGCAGGCCCACTTCCTACCTTGCCTTCGCCATCCTTCCTGGTATGTCCATGGTTGGTCTACAGATATGTTTATAGAAACTTTTAAGTAGATTTAAAGCAGAGAATGAAGGGGATGGGGCTAAGATTTTCTAGCACAGCTTTCTAAGCATGGAAGTCCAAAAAATGCAAAGTCGTAACTTGAGAACTTTCGCTTTGCTGAAGAGACAGTACCTTCACTCCACCTCCCCCAGTTCCAAACAGCAGATATGGGGCTCTTTGCCTAGAACCTGCTTATTTAAGTTGCTAGGGCTGAAATATGGCTTCACAGATCTCTTCTAGCTCAGACACCATTATTTTACGTACTTTACTGTGGCTTCTATACTGATTGGGATTGCAAACAAATAAGCCATTAAGGAAGAATAACAGCTTTTGCACAAAAATCTTCGTAAGAATTCTATTATAAATGAGATTCAATCTGTATTTTCTTAACTATTAAAGCACATACATTTAAGGAAACCACTGCACAGAAAGCAACCATTTCATATATATTTCATTTGATTTTATAACACACTTTCGTAGGCTCTGGGATTCCCCCAACCCCTCCCTGTACCCTCTCCCCATAGTGGAATTCTCCACCTAGTTGCAGTATTATAGTTCAAATCCAATCAAAATTCTTTCATTGCAAGCATGTACTCTGCATAGTGTCCAGCATCTTATTGTCCAGATAAATGCAACAGTTTCTTGGGGAAATCATCTCTGGTCTGAAGGCAGAGCTGGTAGAATATCATCCTGACCAATTAAAAGCCACAACATAACATCAACCATTTCATATATAATTCCATGAATGGTTCTGTTTCCTTTGCTTTTTTTCTTTCTTTATTTTTATTTTTTCCCAAGCAACTACCAATAGAAAAACTCATTATTTTACAATGCATGTTGGAATGTTCTGTATTGGTTTCTACTAAATACATAAAAAGTCGATTTCTGTTAATGTGTTTATCATGGAAAATTCCATCTGAAAGTGAAGACTCTTCAAATATTGGAAACACCTGGAAAGGCCAACCTTGTGCCCTCAATTATAACTAATAGTAGTTGGGGTTAGGGGAGCAGTTCACATGGGGTCAAACTATCTCAGACTATCTCTTCTTAGAGTCTAATCAAATCCTATTAAACCTAAATCCTCCCTGTGCTCTAATCCTCTGGCCTAGTTTTCCTTTTTTCTCCC